TTTGGTTTTTCGAGACAGGGTTTCTCTGTGCTTTGGAGCCTTTCCTGGAACTATCTCTGTAGACCAGGCTGGTCTCGAACTCACAGAGATCCACCTGCCTCTGCCTCCCGAGTGCTGGGATTAAAGGCGTGCGCCACTATCGCCCGGCTTAAAATTAGTAATTTTTAAAATGTGTCTATTGGTGTTTTTCTTTGTTTTGTTTTCTGTTGTTTTCTTCCTCCCAAGATAGGCTTTCTCCAGGTAGCTCAAGGTGTCCTGGAACTCACTATGTAGGCCAGGCTGCCCTTGAATTCACAATCATATCCCTTCACCGTCCCCTCCCAAGAGCTGCAACTAAATGCACATGCTACCATCATCACGTTATTGGTGTTTTGTTTTGTTTAAGTATATCGATAAGAAAAACAAAGGTTCACTTTGGTAACATGAATACTTTTTATCACATTGCAACAAAATTAAATAGATTAAAAACATTATTAGAATTATGAGATAATTTATTTCAATATATTTTAAACTCTCCATTTCAATTATACATTTTAACTGTGAAAATAATGATGAACAAAATCAAGCCTAAAATAGAATTTCTGAAAGTTAAAACTGATGCTATTTTAGTTCCCTTTTAGCTATACTTTCTTAACTCATCTTCTGAAAGCACGCACCTCCGAGATGATAGAAATTTCTTTCTCTGAAAAAGTATGTGAAATACCTGAAGCATTCCATGGGTTTGGGAAATATTCTGACTTAGGGTATCATTTGATAAGTATAACATTCATATAACTAGTAATGTTTTGGACGTTCTACCTGTGACTAATGATCACAACAACAAGCCTTAAATGCAATAGATTCTGACAAATTACTGGGTGATAGGTAAATGACCTATGAGTTGTAAGGCATGACTCACTCTATTTCTTTCTTTCCTGCTGCTGTTTAATAGCATGTTTTTTTCTCCCTCAACTATTTCAAAATTTGTGTTTGAAAGATCAATTCTGGGTGAGTATGAAAATTTCATTCCAGCAAATGTCAGTGAGTTGAAGTTTACTAAGAAAACAACAAAATAGACAGAAGTAAGTATGCCACCAAATGAGATTTTCCCCTCATCTTTTATGCATCAAAAATTCACTTTCTGATAACTGTCAGTGTTATTTAAAGAAATTCTCCTAACAGACCACAGGCTTCTAACTACTTTTTACATTTATGCAATTACTCTATAATGCTTCCAAAACTTTATTTCTTTTAAATGTTAATTGCACATGTAAAGGTTACTTAAGTAAAGGTATTGAACCATACAGTCCTTTCTTTCTTGACAAAACATAACCTTTCTTTTCTTGTCTTATATCTCATTAAGTCATTTTAGTAATAGAGAACTGAGTTAAGTTCACTCTGATTAAGTCTATCATTTACCACATAACTAGAATAGTGCTAATATTTCTTTTAAAAAATGTATTTTTGTACCATTTTCTATCCAAATACAGATGGATAAATGAAAGGATACTGAAATGGTTTTAAATTTTATTGGCAAATACACACATTTATTAAAGAAGACAATGATTTTTTTTTCTTAAACACTTGTTTAACTCTCTTCAATTTTAACACAATTTTCTCTACTTAGTTGAATAGAAAATTTAATCCCTTAATTATTATATGTTATTAGGGCATGTTTTTTAAAACTTAATCATATAGCTTAAATAGTTGTGCATACATGTGTGTAAATGTGCTGGATAGTTTTATGTCAACTTGACACAATCTAAAATCATCTGGAAAGAAGGAACCTCAATTAAGATATAAGAAGCCCATATGA